CCAGTTTGTAGATTCTCTTTCCAATTTTCATATTCTGTGTGTGCAATATATAAAAATCCATTTAACATTTTTTTAAAATAAATCAAACACAAAAATACGTATTGTTACTAATATCTTAAAGCAAACGCTACAAATATTAATTTTTTTAGGTTTATTTTGTACTTTCTTTGGTTAAAGCTGAACATTTTTATAATGGAAGCACTAGGCAACGCTGGAAGTTTTTATTTTTTTTATACAAGCAACATTGTAACTAATAATATCAAAGGGAGCAATGGGAGAAACGAAGTTCATCATGAATTGTCAAACTGTGGTCTTCATGGTTAGATGAACCACAGCTGGGTGAAGATTAGGTGCCTTTGAGCCTCTTTATCATTTATATTCGTTTGTTCTTTCTTTCTGAAAGCTAGACTTTTCTGTATATATCAGATGCAGTGGGCAGCTGTGGCTGAGTGGTTAGAGCAGTCGTCCTCCACTGCAAGAGTTGGGGGTTCGATTCCACCAGCAGTCACATGCCAAAGTGTCTCTGGGCAAGACACTGAACCCCTCGTTGCCTCTGATGTGTGTCCCATCAGTGTATGAATGTGATTTAAAGCAATGATTAGTCTCTGCAGATTCAGATTAACTTTGTAGACCTAGTAGAGTGCTGTATGAATGGGTAAATGAGGGCACAGATTGTAGTGTAAAGCACTTTGAGTATCTTGATAAGATAGAAAGTATAATATATAAGTACAGTCCATTTATCATTCCATTTATAATGGCATTTTTGCAGGTGTTCAAACACATATTTACCGCTGCAGTGCCTCTTGTGCTGTTACAGGAAGGGGTGGGGTTAGAAACCCGTCGACAAGACTGAGCCGCTCCCTTCACAGCCCAAGAATTTGCAAAATCATAACTGTCCTCTGTTAGGAATCCTGAAAGCACACACACGCACACAAGCAAGTTGACAGATTTTTTCACTTAATCCCGGCCTACCACAAATTTCTTTGCTTTCTTTCACGTCGTTATCTTTTCCTGTACTGAGTAGCTACTCTTCCTGTTGCTGAGGGCTTGTGACTCAAATCATTTCCTAGATTCCAGTGAACTCTCACATGCCCATTGTTCAAACTCTCACATATCTAGTGTTGATGCTCATACCTTCCTGAGCTGTGTATTCATCAGTTGAGACAGCGTTGAAGTTGCCACAGAGGCCACAGGTGCGATTGGCGTGACGTTTGGACAGAGTCAAGGCGATGTTGGCTCCGTTATCAATGGTGACGGTGAATCCAAACTCTTCACTCCAGAGTTTATAAAAACCAAGCTCTGAGCCCACAAACACAGCATGAGAGGCATAGGGCAAAGACAATCTGTAGAAAAAAACAACACAAAACAACGTTTCTTCATAATCCAACTAGTGCTAATGTCCACGAATCCACACAAACGGTATGGTTTTTGTTCATTTAGCTGAGTTTGCTTTACATTTTTTCTCCTTGCGAAAGCCGTCCATCTACAGATAGGTGCAACTCAAAGGCATCGCCCAGAAACAATGTGACCCCTGTTCTTCTGCCATCGCGAAAGTCACCTGTAGATCCAAAGCACATTTTGCAACAATCATTCTCCTTTTACAGAATGATACAAGACAGACTGTTGAGTGCAAAATTACACTATAACTGTCAATAGCTAAACTACTAAAGGTCTTTTATTCTACTTCACTATGACAGAGTCTACACTAAAGAGAGAAGTATTACACTCCACAGGAGGTAAAAAATAAATCTGGTCTGTGTGCCACTCACCCAGCAGAGTGAAGGAACGATGGTTACAGTCCCCAGCCAGAAGGTAGCTGCAATCTCCAGGAAACTCATACAAAACTCCATCAAAGGTGTGAATGTGATGTCGTCCGAACAGACTGCATCTCCCCGTTACTCCTGCCACGCAAGCTGGACACACACCGGAGTGTCAAAGAAAGACTAGGCAAGCAACACGTAACAAGATATTCCATGTTGATACTCAAGAAACTAAAAAAATTAGCATTCACCTGTTAGATGCAGGAAGACACAAACTGTTTGTAACCACCTCGTCATACACACCTGAAACATGCACATATATGTAAACACATGGGCATTCTGTTACTGTGTGCAAATATTTAACAAAAAAACTTATCTTCATTTCTCCAAACTCCTAAAGATCTTACCTCCATGACACCAAATTCCAGAAAGAGATCACTCAGGAAAAAAAAAAGTGTGAAAATCCAAATTTGGACCTCACATAATCAATGGATTAAGGGGCGTTGTGAAGCTCTAACACTTTCTAAACCTTCGTGTGTGCAGAAAGATATTAACACTGGAAGCTCTATTTTATATCACAGCTTGACCCACCCCCCACGCCCAATTATCAAGCATTTTCTCTAAAGGCCTCTCCCCCCAACAGGTTATGTCAAGAAGGAGTATCAGTCTGTCCACAGCTTGGTGCCTGCAGACTGACACCATCAAACACACTCGGCAGGACAATGCCAGGATGTGCCCACTGATCGCCGGACTGAGTGATTAGTCTACTCAAACGTAACTGTATCGGTGCCAACTCAAACAGTTATTGTGGAAAACACTCTTACCAGAGATATCTCACGCAATAACACGCCGCCTGTGGTGCCACATGCATAACACACATTGAACCAAAACTGCAGGCACACACACAACTACAGGGAACAAGTGCTGACCAACACATCCGGGTGAAAAATAATGTGATCATCAGAATAAAAAGAGAGATAAAAATATCTGCCACAATGTCTCAAATATAAATAAACACATATATTTTAGCTTTTTTTTTTTACATCCAAATTATTTATCTAATTACTTAAAAAAATTAAGATCTATATTTTTTATTACACCCACTTTTCATGTTTTGTTGGTATACGCAGTCTGAAGACTGAGAAAAGCTGTCGTTTTCTGTTTTCATAGAGGACTTGCACCAAAGATGACATTATTTATGTTTTTTGTTCTGTTGTAAGCAGTTTTCAGACGTTATCATTATTTTCTGTCATTTATATTGTGTAAATGAGTGGAGAGCAAAAAAAGTATAGTAGTAACTTATCTGCATAAATATGATAGTTTACATTATGTTTTTGAACAACAGACAAGAAGAAGCATACAGATTGAATATTAGAGGGCCAAGAATTGAACCATGAGGTACTCCACATGCACCGTCCTCTTTATTATGAATAGAATCACCATTGGACACAACTGCCTATCTAGGTTCTTAATCATCTGAAACCAGGTGCAGAAAAACAGGATTTTCATACCCCCAATAAAGTTCATTGTCAGCAGTATCAAATGGATTGTCAAAAATGACAAACAGATGTTTTTATTCATTTTTTTTAATAAGTTTTTACTGGTCATGTACATCTTTAATAAGTGCAGTTAGTTACTTGTTTTAAAGGTTTTCTGTTTTGTGCTCTTTCTCTTCAATCTGCTGTATACAATAATATATACAGTAATGGTGTTTTCCTGCTGTGTACAACACATCGGTCAACAGTGGTCATTTCAAAACTGATCTGATTTAGGCTGACTCAGTGATGTTGACAGAAGGGCCATGCTATCTTGATTAGATGGAATAAGTAAAGCTTGACTCATTATCCCACACACTCACTAACTGAGAGGACATCAAATTGTGAGTGCCATTAAAATACCCCAAAACATCTTGAATGGAGATGTATTTAACATTGTTGATCACGTTCTGCTAGTTGACTCACTTTAATGATTTTACAATTAGTTTCAAGGGTAATAAAAAAAGGGTTTAAACAGTTTTGTTACCACTGTAAGGCTTTTAATTATTAATAAACTATTGACAAAGGAAGTCATGTGAAAATGTTTGACTAATAAGAATTTTGACGATTTAAATATTTTATTTGGAGGACTTGCAACAAGTATTAGTCTTACAGCTTTAAAAGTCAAACGTGAATTTCTTAATAACCCAACTATAGTTGCTCCATTTGCTTAAGATTTTGCTAATCTGTGAACAATATTATTTTGGATAATTGGGTGAATACAAATGTATTTTTTACACAGTTGCTTTCCTTTTTTCCTTCAATTTTTCATCCTTTTTTTATTTTCAGTCTAACTACTTCTGCATACTTTGTACTATTTAGCCATTCATATTTAAAACATGTTTATTCTGGAGACAGGTGCTATGACTTTTGATTCTTGTAACTTTTATACTTTTTCAAATACAGTACAGTATATTTAACATAGATCACCAAGACATATTCAGTTCCTTTAAAAACAAATTGTTCTTAATGCCCACTTCTTGTCTCCTTATAATTATACTTCTTAGCTACTGCTAGTTTTACTTTAGCCTTTTGCTACTTTCAGCTAGTGTTTTGCTACACTTAGCTTTGCACAAGGCAGTTTTTTGTGCTATTTTTTACTTTTTGCTAGTGTTTTGCTAAATTTAGATTTTTGTGTGTGTTTCTCATTTTGCTCCTTTTAATTGTAGTGTAGGCTGTTTTGCTTTTTAAGCTAGTGTTTGGTTTCTTTTAGTTTTTTTTTTTTTTGTCTGCTTTTTACTTTTATGGAGCCTTTTGCTACTTTTGACTTTTTCTTCTTATAGCTAGTGTTTTGTGCATACCTCCTTTGAGCTACTGTTTACGTCTGGCTTTTAGCTTGCATTTTATTCCTTTTAGTTTGTTTTTGCTGCTTTTAACAATTATTGTGCTATTTTTATTATTTAGCTTATATTGGTTTTTAGCTAATTATTTTCTTCTTTTGGCTTTTTAGCTAGTGCTCTGTTTGTTTAGCCATAACAACTGAGTTTCAGCTCATTTCAACAGTCACAACAGTATAATTTGCAGTGATGAACACACTTTGTTAAAAAATGTTGTGTTTGTTTTGTTGTGAACAACTTTGTCTCCAGTAGTTTGAAACATTCTGTGCGACATGGACCCTGAACGCAGCACAAACCCAGATGATGTTCGTTTCTGCGAGAGGAGGCATGCGCGTGCACCGTGTTCATTCGTGTACAGCGAGGTGTCAGCTTCACTCAGCTTGTACAGCGTAATGCCTCCGTGCGCGCGCTCTCCTTATTCAGGCAGAATTACGTCATCGCATGGCACCGAGGGGGTTCGGCAGGACAACAACAAAAACACAGCTGCAGGAAACCATTTGTACGATTTAATCTTTATTTTTTATTTAAAAATATATATATATATTAAATTTATTCCGTGCGTAGTAGTGTTTTTATTATAATTTAGAAATAAAGAACAATTTAAAACCCCAACATTTCAAGGCGCGAGGCAGAAAAGATAAGAGGAGCTGCGCAGCGCGTGGGGGCGGACCACAGTAGGCGCGCGCCCGCTGACCTCCTCGGATCTAACGGAGGTTTGAAGCGAACAGCATCATGGCAGCGCTGTCGGGAGGAGAAATCTGCATCAAATACTTGATGTTCGCCTTCAACCTGGTGTTCTGGGTGAGTGGGTCTGCTTTTAAATCCACGTGTCCTCTGTCGGTGGTCGTTTCCGTGCGCGTCACGGCGCGAGCGCACCTTAACCACGGGGAATTAAATGACTTGTCCCAAAGAAGGCGTCCATCGTCGCAGACGCTACCGATGAATTTCGCTTTAAGAGGCTGAAACAGAAATATCCTCCAGCTGGAGAATAATCCCCCAGTGGCCAAGTGACCCAGTTCACGCAGAGCTGGCTCTCTGGAGTGTGCGCGCGCTGCATTTCAATCATCCCACGGAAAGAGTGGGGCTCGCTTTGCAGCTGTTTGCTTTTAATGTGCATCATTAAAATGAATAAACTGGGGAGAATACTCCTTTAAGAGCTGCAGTGTCCCATGTAGGGTGACGGGCTGAGCCTGCAGGGTGCCATGATGTGTGCTTGCAGATGCTTTGCCCTTTTATGCACGTCACTAATCTGTGCAGCTATGTATAGAGCCTGGGAATGGCCACTTATTACAGGGCTGGGGTTCCCCGCCCTGTGAGGACATGTGTGTGTGTGTGTGTGATGTGGAGGAGGCAAACACTAGCCTTGAAAAAATGCACAGCTGCTTCAAGCCAGAGAATCCAGTCTGTCCAACAGGTTTTAGTCTGCCGTAAACACTGGGAAGCTTGCTCAGACCTTCGCCGAGATGTGCAAGAAAGTTGTAGCAAAGGCTTCGGCTGCTACTTTAAAGATCAGTCAGGTCACACGGGGCCATCAAGCGTGGTAAACATGCTCAGTTTGAACACAGGAGGAGTAAAAATGCTGCAGAGCAGGTACAGTAGTTTGGAACATGCCTGAACAGGAGCCTGCTGTGAGACCGTGTGCCTCCGTGAGCTCAACGGATGCAGTTAGTTTGTATGTTACAAAACAAAGCATTCATGCAGGAACAGGAAATAACAGAGAGGAAGGAACACAGGCAGGACTTCAAATCATTAAACCCAGTAAAGGTTAGTTTTTGTGAAGCAGTCCCGCCCTTCTTGCCACTCCCTAACTGTATAATCAGGTGACTGGAGAGGGGTGGTGCTGGAAATGGTCTCTCTTTCCACCACTAAATGCTTTGGCTTCCTCCTGCGAAGGTGTTAGACGCTGTTTACGGTGGATTGTACAAAAACTGATTCAGCATGACCGTCACTGGGGGCCTCAAGTGTCTGAAATACCTCATGTTTTTCTTCAACTTTTTCTTCTGGGTAGGTTGGCTTCACTTTTTCATGGCGTAGAGAAAGGAGAAGAGGCTTCCTTGGAAGTTTTTCCTAAACTTGCACTGATGGGAGTCGGACATTTTACAGGGTAATCTGGCAAACAGGAAGCTTACATGGTTAAGCAATAGATAGTAGAGAGAAGATCAGAAAAAATCAAGAACGCTGAAAAAAAGACTATCTACATATCAGCAGGCAGGTTAAAGATTGACTGACTTGTGGGCATGGCACAATTTAACAGAGCGCACAGTTTTATAGTGAAATAACAATAGGTTGTTTCATTCTCTATGTGTTGCAAAATGCCCTCAGCTTCACGATGGGGGGATTTTTGTTAAAAAAAAATTCTAAGAATGACACGTTTTTTCTATTCGTACAGTTTTCTGAAGAAAACAAAAGCTTTGTAAATGATATGACTAAATGAAGACTGTTGACCTCATGTATCTCATATATTCACCACAGCTGCGGTTAAAAAAACAACGTTGCTCAAGATTTGTATGTGGCTAACAGCAACTTTCTCACAAGGACAGATAAAAAGAAAACAAAACTGAAAGTACTGTGTGTAAAGGCCTGCCAGTGCAGGGTTAGGAGGAGCTGCTTACAATGGCTGGTGTTAACTGGTGTCCAATGTCTGCAACATTTGAAATGTGTTAATAAGGACAGCGAGTAAACATGCTGATTTAGCACTAACTGCAGCTTTGTGTGTAGCTCGCAGGCACGGCTGTGTTTGCCATCGGCATGTGGCTGAGATTCGACCCAAAAACCAAAGGCCTGTTTGAAGAACCAGACTCTCCTTATGTGTTTTACACCGGTAAGACACACCCTGTTCATAAGGAGACATGCTTTCTGCTACCATTAAAGCCACGTTTTGGTTATAAACTGTCTTCCTGTATGTGACGTCCTGTTTCTGTGTTAAGGTGTCTACATCCTGATTGGAGCTGGAGCGCTCATGATGGTGGTAGGCTTCCTGGGATGCTGCGGGGCGATCCAGGAATCACCCTGGATGCTGGGACTGGTTCGTATGAATCGTTATCCATGTTCTTATTCAGATCTTTTGAACGGGTGTCATGTGGAAAAGACGTGAACTAACCTGCCTACAGCTAAACAGAAAGTCTCCAGCTGTGAGTTTACTCACTGGATTTTTTTCTTCTTCTGCGAGGCAGCATTTAAACCGTCTGTGCCACCATGCGGGCTAAACAGAGTTCAATTCTGACCAAACTGACGAGCTAACGGCTGGTCCGACTGCAGCCAAGACTGCTTCAAAAACGTCTCAAATGTTTCTCAGCAGTTCCTGCTAATGCTATTTTGTAAACCCTTACATCACCCTCAGTTTTATAGTACAATAGTAATAACAGCAGCTGCTAGATGTACAGGTCCTTCTCAAAAAATTAGCATATTGTGATAAAGGTCATTATTTTCCATAATGTAATGATAAAAATGAAACTTTCATATATTTCAGATTCATTGCACACCAACTGAAATATTTCAGGTCTTTAATTGTTTTAATACTGATGATTATGGCATACAGCTCATGAAAACCCAAAATGCCTGTCCCAAAAAATTAGCATAT